ATGCTTGTGTATACTAGCTGTAGTGGTGGTTGTTTATATATAATGGGGAGGGGGGTTGATTTCCCAGGACCCTGAAGAGTGTGGGTTTGGCTTTAACTTTTTTTCAGCAAATTTTTTTTCTCATATTATTGTTCTATGTTTTGTTTTGCTGCTCTGCTGTCAAATAGTCGTTTAGCAGTAGCATCATCAGCCTCACTATCATCATCGTCATTATTGTAAACTAGGATTCTGTGGCTCGGGCTGCTTTACTTTTGTTAATTGGTGGTCGGTTTCTGTAGCTCTAAACAAATCGTAACGTTAACATCTAAAAACGGATAAAAGCTTTATTAAGTAAAGTAACTTTCAAAAAAAAATAATTTATCTGACAAAAAACTATCGGTTACGGTTGAAAAAAGTGCTAAAAAATTTAATTTAGAAAAAAAAAATTAACAAAAATTTTTGCTAATGTTTTTACTGAAATCTAAAAGTAAAAGTTAATAAATTATATAAAATTTATTAAAATAATAAATAATTAAGAAAAAAAAAATATTATTAATTTTTGAAAATTTATTCAAAAAAGAAAAAGTGTTTAAGTGTTAAAGTTGTTGCACAAATATTTCAATCTGGATACCCTAAGTTTTAAATATTTCCATCAACGCAAGATGGGTACCGGAAGTGGTGTGTATTCAAATTCACCGACGGTTTATAGTAAATTTTATTTTTTTATATATATTTTTCAATAATATAAGATTTAAGTTATTTTATAAGTTTATATAGGATTTAAAGAGTTTTTAGTAAAAAAAACATTTTTTCTAATTATGACACTTTTGAATGAATTTGGTAAAAAAAATTAATTGCCGACGGGATTTTCATATAAGAAAGCATTTTGAAAGCAATTACATAATCACTTCTTCGAACATACAACAAAGTGCTTATTTTTAACTTCTTTGCAAGTGATGTTTAATAACTATAACTATAAGTACTATTTTTTGGTACTTTTTCGTTTTTTAGCTGGTACTTTTTGAGTTTTCTTATTTTATAATATTAAACCACATGAAATTAAGCATGTGGATCCCTGAGTAAATGTGAATCTATAAAAGGGGATTTTTGGCCCTTAAAAGGGAACTTTTTGGTACTTTTCTGTTCTTCAAAATATTAAATTAAACATTCAACTTTCTTAGTTAATGGGAATCTTTAAGAAAGAGTTATTTTCAACTGGTACTTTTTGAGTATTCTATAATATTGAACTAAACCAACTGAAAATCTATAAAAGGGGCTTTTTTGTACTTCAACTGGTACTTTTTTAAATTTCTATTAAATTCAACCTGAAAACATAAATTTAAGCATGTAGAGTCCTTTTAAGTTTTTTATTGTATTGAACTCGGGCTCCTGAACGAAATGAACATCTAAAAAGTGAAAATTTTCTGGTACTTTTTCGTTTCTCAATTGGTACCTTATGAATTTTTTTTTTTAATAATTGAACTTAGTAATATAAAATTCAATGAAAAAGTACTAATTGGGTCTTATTCATACTTCAACTGGTACTTCTTGAGTTTTCTATAATATTAAAAACTAGCTATACCCAGGGTACTTCGCTACCCTAGAAATAATATACATAAAAAACCCCAAACGGTGGCTCAGGAATTATTTGTTAATACTGAATTCAAAAATTTCAATGCTATAGTAATATAACATAGCTAAGGTTCTAGTGGAACCTGTTATAGAATTGATAAAGTAGGAACCTGTTCTTAAAATTATCGTGAACATTAGTTTTTTGCTTAAAAAACGATTCTAGTAGAACCCCTTTTAAAGAAACCGTTTCTAGTGGAACTTATTGCAGAATTGATAAATTGTTCGTGCAAAATTAGATTAAATTTCAATGTTGGGAGGTACCATGCCCCCTACAACACGTACAACATTTGAATATTCTAGTTCCTATATTTTTCCAAATGTAAAAATGTCATTCATATGAGAGGTACGTACCATGCTCCTGTTGCTAGTCCGGTTATGTGTCTGCAAATTTTTCACATTGATTTCAGTGCTACTCATGAGGTTTCCTAGATATACGATTTTTTGTATTTAATTCATATATGGGAAGTACCACGCCCTCTTTTTCTAGTCCGCCCATGTTTGTCTAAAATATTCATGTTGATAACAAAGTGGTTCCTACGAAATTTGATCAATCCAAATTTTATAATTTCCCAGTTATACGAATTTTGGTACTAACTTTATATGGGGGATGACACGCCCACTATTTCATATCCGCCCAATATTGCACATAATTATTAGACAACTACTAATATAGATGTTAAAATTGTTTGTGTAAAATTTGAGCATTCTACCTCCAATAATTTCTCCGATATACGAATTTTTGTATTTAATTCCGATATGGGAAGTACCACGACCTCTTTTTCTAGTCCACCCATATTTGTCTAAAATATTCATGTTGATATCAAAGTGGTTCCTACGAAATTTGATCAATCCAAATTTTATAATTTCCCAGTTATACAAATTTTGGTACTAACTTTATATGGGGGATGACACACCCACTATATTATATCCGCCCATTATTGCACATAATTTTCATATTGAAACCAAAGTTTATCGTACAAAATTTGGGAAGTGTTTAGTGTGTTTAGTTTAGTCAAATTTACGTCTTTTGGTATTCATGTATGTGTCATATTTGCAAAATTAGAGGACTCTAGTCGTACTAGTTTCCGAGATATACTATTTTAAATAGTTATTTAGTAAGTGGGCGTGGCACCTCGCCCAGCAAAAACTTATATTGAAAAGTAAGGGGTTAAAATACTAAAATCTTATTAAACAATAGCATTTTACATTACTTTAATACGGGGAAGTCATGGGACTCTAAGTAATGCAGACGGTATGTAGTAGTTATTGAAAAGTAAGTTGTTTAATAAGTAAGTCATTTCGCTGTTTTTGCTGGGATAGCAATGAAATTCGATATAAAGACATTTTATAGGAACCAAAAACTATTTTTACTAAAAATCATGAGTTTAGGTCCATAATAGATCTTATCTCCCATATAATTCATCTTACAGAAAAATCCGTTTATTCTCATTAAATCATTCGAAACTACCTGGTCCACAATTGGATCATTAGTTTTCCTATAGAACTCCCTATAGAATTCGGGGTGAATCTAATAAAAAGACGGACGTGGTAGACCATAAAATACTTCAGACGAACGGAATATGATCTGGTTCATATCAAGTTACATAGATCGATGTGCGTCTAGTAGGAAGTCAATTCTATATATCCACTTAACATTCTGACTACTTAGTTTAGAACGTATTATGATATTTGGGATTATAATTTTCCTTTCTTCATTTAGGTTTAGGCTTTAGTTGTCAAACCGATGATAGAGCTGAAATGTTGTCATTGTCCATTCTTTAAGTACATGGTTCCATTTTAAATAATATAATATTGTTCACCTTTATACCAACTTAGTTTATGGAAATCCATTTCGATTACATCTAAATTGTTATCATCTGTATATATATGTATGTCTGTCATTCCTCAATCTGAGGTCAAGTTACCAATTTCAATAATGATCATAATTTTCAGCGCATTTTGATTAGATTTTTGTTCAATAATATTCTCCAAAGTCCCCTTTGATGTACTTTATTTGTTTTCTGTCCTAAATTTTTGTGCCCTAAAAGGGAGGCAATAAGTCCCAGTTAAGCTACTACCGGTTCTTTAGAGATCATTATTTAAGAGAAAGTAGGGAAGGTTTCGTACGACTTTAATCTGAATGGATAGTCCGATAAGTCTGAAATAAGTTTTTATAAACCTATAGAAAACTGGATCTCGGCTATGCGAGGTCTACAGAAACATATATAAAACTGTAAATTTGTTTCTTCTAGGAAGTTTTAGGCTGGCATTGAAAAACTGATTTAAAAAAACCGAAACCGAAAACCGAAGCGTTTTCTTGCCGAACTATTAGCTTTTCAATTTAAGACAGAACTTCTTGAGACTGCAAATATATTGTGTAATGAATGTTTAACACTTTTATTTCAATTATTTTGTTCCCATGAGAATTTTATACAAATTTCATCACCCCAACCCCTGAGAACTATTATCGCATTTAAATTCAGATTTCTTAAATAAACATTAGCTATTATTATTATAAAATTTAAAAATTTTTAAAAACCATACTTGGTTGACATGCAAAATACTTATAAAAATAACAAATCACAAGATTCTACACCAGGAAAGAAAAACAAAAATACTTTAAAAACCATAAACGGAAATAGTTTACTTTTCAAAAGAAAAACAAAAACACAAAGAAAACTTTTTTTGGAAAAAAAAAAAAAAATCATAAACCACAAAGGGAATAATAATAATGATGAATAAAGGAAGAAAAGCCACTAGAATGTTGGGCAAACCAGCTAAAAATCCAACAGCAAAAGGACCAACATAACACACACACGCACACACAACAAACAAAAAAGGACACTCTGCAATATCACCCCTTTTTTTTTACTCCTAAACACTCTCGACAAAGTAGGAAAAAGCAACAAATAAAACAAATTCTAACACCTCAACATATAATTGAGAACACACGACTCGACGACCCACAGCCAGAAGACACCAACAAGGGTGTAAACAAATTGCCAGCACGCGTCATTGAGCTATAGAAGGGATCAAGTCAGTAAAAACAATGACAATATGTCAATTGTCATTGTTTAGATTCGGACATAAGATTTTGCCGGTTTGCGTGGTTCTAGTGTTTTGACAAGTGTCTCTTCCTGGTTGAATGTTTAAAAAGGAATTAAGTTTTTAAAATGTTTTATGTGCTTGCAAAATTGCCAAGGATTAGCAACGAGTGAAAAATAAAAGTATAGAAAAAAATGGCGATAAAACAGAGGAAATAGAAAAGTATGACGTCAGTTTTAGGTGGGGGTTTTTGCGTGAAGTATAAGGATTTTTAGGACTTCTTTACATATTTCTAGTTTTTGTTTATACAGTAACCTTTTTCTAACTTTTTGATTCCTTTGAAGGTGATCGATTGTTGGATATACCCTGCAAAGTATGTGGTGATCGTAGTTCCGGTAAACATTATGGGATTTACAGTTGTGATGGTAAGTACATTTATTGAATTTTTTGAGAACTGAACTAGAACTGAACTAGAACAGAACTAGAACTAGAACTAGAACTAGAACTGAACTAGAACTGAACTAGAACTGAACTAGAACTGAACTAGAACAGAACTAGAACTGAACTAGAACTGAACTAGAACTGAACTAGAACTGAACTAGAACTGAACTAGAACTGAACTAGAACTGAACTAGAACTGAACTAGAACTGAACTAGAACTGAACTAGAACTGAACTAGAACTGAACTAGAACTGAACTAGAACTGAACTAGAACTGAACTAGAACTGAACTAGAACTGAACTAGAACTGAACTAGGACTGAACTAGAACTGAACTAGAACTGAACTAGAACTGAACTAGAACTGAACTAGAACTGAACTAGAACTGAACTAGAGCTGAACTAGAACTGAACTAGAACTGAACTAGAACTGAACTAGAACTGAACTAGAACTGAACTAGAACTGAACTAGAACTGAAATAGAACTGAACTAGAACTGAACTAGAACTGAACTAGAACTTAACTAGAACTTAACTAGAACTTAACTAGAACTGAACTAGAACTGAACTAGAACTAGAACTGAACTAGAACTGAACTAGAACTGAACTAGAACTGAACTAGAACTGAACTAGAACTGAACTAGAACTGAACTAGAACTGAACTAGAACTGACTAGAACTGAACTAGAACTGAACTAGAACTGAACTAGAACTGAACTAGAACTGAACTAGAACTGAACTAGAACTGAAACTAGAACTGAACTAGAACTGAACTAGAACTGAACTAGAACTGAACTAGAACTGAACTAGAACTGAACTAGAACTGAACTAGAACTGAACTAGAACTGAACTAGAACTGAACTAGAACTGAACTAGAACTGAACTAGAACTGAACTAGAACTGAACTAGAACTGACTAGAACTGAACTAGAACTGAACTAGAACTGAACTAGAACTGAACTAGAACTGAACTAGAACTGAACTAGAACTGAACTAGAACTGAACTAGAACTGAACTAGAACTGAACTAGAACTGAACTAGAACTGAACTAGAACTGAACTAGAACTGAACTAGAACTGAACTAGAACTGAACTAGAACTGAACTAGAACTGAAACTAGAACTGAACTAGAACTGAACTAGAACTGAACTAGAACTGAACTAGAACTGAACTAGAACTGAACTAGAACTGAACTAGAACTGAACTAGAACTGAACTAGAACTGAACTAGAACTGAACTAGAACTGAACTAGAACTGAACTAGAACTGAACTAGAACTGAACTAGAACTGAACTAGAACTGAACTAGAACTGAACTAGAACTGAACTAGAACTGAACTAGAACTGAACTAGAACTGAACTAGAACTGAACTAGAACTGAACTAGAACTGAACTAGAACTGAACTAGAACTGAACTAGAACTGAACTAGAACTGAACTAGAACTGAACTAGAACTGAACTAGAACTGAACTAGAACTGAACTAGAACTGAACTAGAACTGAACTAGAACTGAACCTAGAACTGAACTAGAACTGAACTAGAACTGAACTAGAACTGAACTAGAACTGAACTAGAACTGAACTAGAACTGAACTAGAACTGAACTAGAACTGAACTAGAACTGAACTGAACTAGAACTGAACTAGAACTGAACTAGAACTGAACTAGAACTGAACTAGAACTGAACTAGAACTGAACTAGAGCTGAACTAGAGCTGAACTAGAACTGAACTAGAACTGAACTAGAACTGAACTAGAACTGAACTAGAACTGAACTAGAACTGAACTAGAACTGAACTAGAACTAGAACTGAACTAGAACTGAACTAGAACAGAACTAGAACTGAACTAGAACTGAACTAGAACTAGAACTCAACTAGAACTGCACTAGAACTGAACTAGAACTGAACTAGAACTGAACTAGAACTGAACTAGAACTGAACTAGAACTGAACTAGAACTGAACTAGAACTGAACTAGAACTGAACTAGAACTGAACTAGAACTTAACTAGAACTGAACTAGAACTGAACTAGAACTGAACTAGAACTGAACTAGTTCTAGCTAAGCGCTCATTCCAATCAATTTCAGTTGAACTTTATATAAATACTATTAAAATAAAAATCCTATAATTAATTCATTATCCCACAAAAACAATAATTACTCAACATTAAATTTTCCCTTACAGGTTGTTCCGGTTTCTTTAAACGCAGCATCCATCGTAATCGCATTTACACTTGTAAAGCAACTGGTGATATGAAGGGCCGTTGTCCCGTAGATAAAACTCATCGTAATCAATGTAGAGCATGTCGTTTAGCAAAATGTTTTCAATCTGCCATGAATAAAGATGGTAAGTAACTAGAAAAATGTGCCTTTGACTCACACCTTCAAAAAGCAGCAGCTACAAACGACTCCAATTGTAAAAAGTAAAAGTTTTTGTTTTGGGTGTGAAAAAATAACAATCACATTATTATCATTGTTTTATTAAAGAAAATAGAATTAATTATGCAAAACATTTTAATTATATCTGACGTTAAAGATGATGAAGTGCTAAATAAATTTTACGTTTGATATTACGTTTTGTATTTAATATTGTGCTGAGTTTGGAAGTAAGAGTTTCTGGGAGAATGAAATTAAAAATGTAAATGTTACAAACCGCAGGGATAATGATGAGAAAATAAGAATCTCTGATGTTTAAATGATTTTGCAAATTTTGTAGAGAGTTGGATAAATGCCAAAGGCAATTTGGGGCACAGATATCACAGGATGTTTGGGAAAAGTAATTTATAATTATGTTTAATTTTTGCAAATAACTTTGAGTGCTACTTTTTCTGGTTTAATTCAGAACTAGTTTAGTTCTATTTTATTTCTAGTTCAGTTCTAGATCAAATTTGTTCTGGTCTACTTTAGTTTCTGGTTCAGTTCTAGTTCGGTTCTAGTTCAGTTCTAGTTCAGTTCTAGTTCAGTTCTAGTTCAGTTCTAGTTCTCAGTTCTAGTTCAGTTCTAGTTCAGTTCTAGTTCAGTTCTAGTTCAGTTCTAGTTCAGTTCTAGTTCAGTTCTAGTTCAGTTCTAGTTCAGTTCTAGTTCAGTTCTAGTTCAGTTCTAGTTCAGTTCTAGTTCAGTTCTAGTTCAGTTCTAGTTCAGTTCTAGTTCAGTTCTAGTTCAGTTCTAGTTCAGTTCTAGTTCAGTTCTAGTTCAGTTCTAGTTCAGTTCTAGTTCAGTTCTAGTTCAGTTCTAGTTCAGTTCTAGTTCAGTTCTAGTTCAGTTCTAGTTCAGTTCTAGTTCAGTTCTAGTTCAGTTCTAGTTCAGTTCTAGTTCAGTTCTAGTTCAGTTCTAGTTCAGTTCTAGTTCAGTTCTAGTTCAGTTCTAGTTCAGTTCTAGTTCAGTTCTAGTTCAGTTCTAGTTCAGTTCTAGTTCAGTTCTAGTTCAGTTCTAGTTCAGTTCTAGTTCAGTTCTAGTTCAGTTCTAGTTCAGTTCTAGTTCAGTTCTAGTTCAGTTCTAGTTCTAGTTCAGTTCTAGTTTTCAGTTCTAGTTCAGTTCTAGTTCAGTTCTAGTTCAGTTCTAGTTCAGTTCTAGTTCAGTTCTAGTTCAGTTCTAGTTCAGTTCTAGTTCAGTTCTAGTTCAGTTCTTCAGTTCTAGTTCAGTTCTAGTTTAGTTCTAGTTCAGTTCCATTTCATAAAAGAAACCTTCATTTCATCAATAACAAAATTTGACAGTTAAAACGTTTTCAAATATTACGTTATCAATAAAACAATCGAGTGGTATTTACTTGTGAATAAAAAATTTAAACCATTCAATAAACGCCCTCCCTTTTAATCATACGAAAATAATATTAAACACTTTTCCACTTTCAAGATGGGATAATGCATGTAATCCGCTATTAGATTGTTGAAAATTTGCGTTACGCTGTTGTCAGATGCCTTTTAAGCTTAAATACAAATAAGGATACACTCGACGCACACACACAAACTTGCACACATAAAGACACAACTTACCACTACAACTAAATACTGCGCTCTATATCGAACGGAAGTGTTGAACATATTTCTATTTTCCGGCTCTTTGTTTCATTCACTCTCTTCTGTTGGTATAGTTCTCATTTTGCTTCATCCTTCCTTTTCGCTCACATGCACAATTTAGAGCATTATGTAGTTTTTGTAAATGTGTTAAATTTCTCACGTATTTGACAGGATTCTTTTGTTCTGTTGTTGTTTTTTTATTTCATGGACTATTTATTTGTTAGATGCTACTGCTGTTGTTGTTGCTGCTACTTAATAGACACACATACATACATACACTCATATATAGTTGGTTTTTATAGGGAGTATTCGTCGGTATTTGTTTATAGTATATTGTTTATATATTTATATTTAGAATGTTTTTGTACTGGACCTAATCGCTTTTGTATCTTTATGCTACATTTAATATTGGCTTAAAAGCTTTAAAGTTACCATTGTCTAACATTTAATGAAATATATTTTTGACAAAATAAAAAATTATTTCTATAAATACGTTAAAGGCAAATGTGTACGTACTAAACCCTTAATACCCGTACTAAACCAGAAAACTTGTGTTAAATCGATTGAGTTTTTGTTGTTGTTGTTTTTGTATTTGTAAAAGGTCAACAAATAATAATTGAATATTTGCTATAATCCGTGTCATGTTTGATATTTAGATCTTTAATCATTAAAATAAAATATAAATAGATCAGTTCTAGTTTAGTTCTAGTTCAGTTCTAGTTCAGTTCTAGTTCAGTTCTAGTTCAGTTCTAGTTCAGTTCTAGTTCAGTTCTAATTCAGCTCTAGTTCAGTTCTAGTTCAGTTCTAGTTCAGTTCTAGTTCAGTTCTAGTTCAGTTCTAGTTCAGTTCTAGTTCAGTTCTAGTTTAGTTCTAGTTCAGTTCTAGTTCAGTTCTAGTTCAGTTCTAGTTAAGTTCTAGTTCAGTTCTAGTTCAGTTCTAGTTCAGTTGTAGTTCAGTTCTAGTTCAGTTCTAGTTCAGTTCTAGTTCAGTTCTAGTTCAGTTCTAGTTCAGTTCTAGTTCAGTTCTAGTTCAGTTCTAGTTCAGTTATAGTTCAGTTCTAGTTCAGTTCTAGTTCAGTTCTAGTTCAGTTCTAGCTCAGTTCTAGTTCAGTTTTAGTTCAGTTCTAGTTCAGTTCAGTTCAGTCCAGTTCTAGTTCAGTTCTATTTATTTAAATTTACATAAATGACAGAGGATGTATGTGTATATCAGAATTCATAAATATTGTAGTTGTATTCCGAAAGAAATGCATAGTACAAGTATTTCCCCCAGAACCCTAAAATATAAATGGGAAACATTTTCACAATTGTTCTGAAATAACAATACATAAAAAACCACTAACAAAAGAACAAATAAAGCAATGTTGTAACATGGTATTAACATTCCAAAGAACAACAAGCCAAAAGAGAATAATAAAATAACATGAAAGATGTTCCAGGCATACATACATATGTGACAATAAACTTTAAGGAGTGAAGATATGTATACTGGTACTCTACACTAGATGCAAAAAATTCATCAAAACTCTGATGGCTTGAAATAAAATGTAACGTTTAGATACTAGTTAGTTAGTTAGTTAGTTAGTTAGTTAGTTAGTTAGTTAGTTAGTAAGTTAGTTAGTTAGTCAGTAGTAGTTAGTTAGTTAGTAGTTAGTTAGTTAGTTAGTTAGTTAGTTAGTTAGTTAGTTAGTAGTAGTTAGTTAGTTAGTAGTTAGTTAGTTAGTTAGTTAGTTAGTTAGTTAGTAGTTAGTTAGTTAGTTAGTTAGTTAGTTAGTTAGTAGTTAGTTAGTTAGTTAGTTAGTTAGTTAGTTAGTTAGTTAGTTAGTTAGTTAGTTAGTTAGTTAGTTAGTAGTTAGTTAGTAGTTAGTTAGTTAGTTAGTAGTAGTTAGTAGTTAGTTAGTTAGTTAGTTAGTTAGTTAGTTAGTTAGTTAGTTAGTTAGTTAGTTAGTTAGTTAGTTAGTTAGTTAGTTAGTTAGTTAGTTAGTTAGTTAGTTAGTTAGTTAGTTAGTTAGTTAGTTAGTTAGTTAGTTAGTTAGTTAGTTAGTTAGTTAGTTAGTTAGTTAGTTAGTTAGTAGTTAGTTAGTTAGTTAGTTAGTTAGTTAGTTAGTAGTTAGTTAGTTAGTTAGTAGTTAGTTAGTTAGTTAGTTAGTTAGTTAGTTAGTTAGTTAGTTAGTTAGTTAGTTAGTAGTTAGTTAGTTAGTTAGTTAGTAGTTAGTTAGTTAGTTAGTTAGTTAGTTAGTTAGTTAGTAGTTAGTTAGTTAGTTAGTTAGTTAGTTAGTAGTTAGTTAGTTAGTTAGTTAGTTAGTTAGTTAGTTAGTTAGTTAGTTAGTTAGTTAGTTAGTTAGTTAGTTAGTTAGTAGTTAGTTAGTTAGTTAGTTAGTTAGTTAGTTAGTTAGTTAGTTAGTTAGTTAGTTAGTTAGTTAGTTAGTTAGTTTAGTTAGTTAGTTAGTTAGTTAGTTAGTTAGTTAGTTAGTTAGTTAGTTAGTTAGTTAGTTAGTTAGTTAATTATTGAGGTGGATGTTTATTACATTGTTGCCCTCTTTCACCGGAGTATCTGGTAGGAATCGAACTCATGACCCGTGGACTGAAAAACTACAACTTTATGCTTTATAAAGAAGTAGCATTTCAGACACCAAACCTGTGAATATTCCCCAATATTGGTTTGGGCACCACAACTTTACTCATACCGTTACATATACAACATACACACAAGCATGTTTGTTTATACAGTTCTATAAATAGTTTGTTGTTACACATGACAAAATCCAACAAAACTTTAACGTCAAATAACAATAAAAATAATAAAAAAGGAAACGGAAACAAACAAAAAGACTCTTGTATACACATACTACACTACTACCAACAAAAGCCACAAAATTCCTAAAAGGCACGTTTTCTTTTAACATTTTGATATTATTACCAACATCAACAATGGCAACTGAATATAACAACAAAAAAAGTACATAAAATCAAACCAAAACTGAAAAAAAATCACTTACTTTGACATTGAATTTTGGCTTTTAGCTATTTGAATGTTTATGTTTAGTTACGATTATAATTTAATTAAATAATATACAATTATTTAATATTTTATTAAAAATTTAGTAAGGCATTTTTTTTTTTTTTTGCTGTTCAATACATAAAATGTACATATTAAATATTTTCATTAACAGATTTCTTTTTTGTTGTATTCGACAATGATGTACTTAACAATTAAAAAACTACACAAATACATTGCTATTTACTTAAAACACAGACACAAAAACACATATTGTTGATGATTAAAGTCTGAAAGTGCATTTGTGAATGATTTATTAATGTTTTGCCGTAGGATA